GGGGGGGGAGGGGGGGGGAAATTAAATTCCCAAGTCAGAGTAGGAGAGGAAATTAATGGCAGCGTTCAAGAAGAATGATGGAGGGAAATATAGAAAGCAGTCAATAGCCCATTCTGCGCTGTACGGACCTGACAGGAATTTCACAGTCCCTTGGTTTTTCAGCCCGCTCATGTGCATTCATCAGAAACCAGTCACATCTGGCTGCCAGGATGGGGGGTTAATTTTCTCTAAATGCCTCAGCAGAATTGTTCTAGCTGAGGCAAACTCTGTGACTGCAAAGCTGATGAGTAAAATATTTCTACTTCACCCACTTTAACTCAAAACCGATAGCCTCGGGACATATTGAACCTTTCTTAAAAAAATAATCTTTTGAAGCTTTTTGAATGGCACATCACGTCAGGCCAAAGTTTAAAATGCAAGTTTAAGACTTTGATGGACACAAGGGCTTTTTTCTTTTTTTTTTTTCCCTGTGTAAAGCTTATCATAGCTTGGCAATGTGTGCTTTAGTGCATGACAAAACTAAAGAGAATTAACTTAGCCATCAGCTGCTCAGGGAGAACAATAACAGGAAAGAAATTTCCAGATAGAAGTTCCTATTAATCTACCTAGCTATAACCATGTGACATGAAAGCATCTAACAGCACTAAACTGCACCGAATGCGGCAGCTGAGAGTGACGCTACTTAAAAAATGGATTTTAAATAGACGTATGGAAAAGATAACATCCTAGGAACCGCATTCGGTGCAAAGGATCCTAACTGGAACGATTCAAAGTAGGAGTGCTTACCGGGTAGGCTTTTGCTATTTGCTAACAGTAATTATTGTTACAATCTACAGTTAAGACTGGTATCAATTTTCCCTTAATCTGCAAGTATTTGGAACTCATAAACACGGTGTGGCAGGTCTCGGTCTAGAAGGAAAATGTTTTAATGAGCTCCGAAAAGCTACCAACACAGAATGTTTTTGAAAACGACTGTGGGTTTTGGTAAATTCTGCAAACATTGCCGCATACTCTACACGAGTCACAATTTAGAAAATGGAAATTTAAACCACCTAAATGATTGCTTAGTGGAAATACACGGTTTTGTGTTTCATCAGGTTAATTATTTCAATAAATTCCATAGCTATTGTTAGCATAAGGCCTTCAAGAGTATGCCTGTCAACCAGATTAACACAACGGATTGTACCATTCCTTTGGAAATATTACATTTCATTAAGGTCAATGCCACAGGTCAATAATTGGATCAGTTATAAAGAAGCTTTTACATGATAAGATATGACTGCTCTTTAGGAGCAAGCGCAGTGTACCAGGTGAAAAATACACTTTTTCAAAAGAATGTAGATTATAGTAATATCAAGTGAGCTATTACAGCCTAGAGAGTAATTAATGCACATTTTCAAAATTAATGGCCTGATTTTCAGAGATACTGAGTTTCCACAAGTCCCATTAGATTCTATGGAAGCTGTGAGTACTCTGCATCTTTGTAAATGAGGCTGTAAAATATTAAAACAGGTCTTTGTACATAATTCTTTTGAGTCCTGCCAGTGTCTATTAAAAATAACATGAGGGAAGATAGAAAAACTCAATGGGAAAATATAAAACTATCAATCTGAATCACAGCCAAAACCTGGACACAAATAGGAATATGTTTTCTGGTTTGAAGAAGCTTTTCTAAGTACCACTGCTCCTTTCCTCCTATTTTAAGAAAATTTTTTCCCCGAAATTTATCTCTCTCTGCAGGTCTGCTGTTAATTCAACTATTTTCAAATCTCGTGTTATTTGATACCATTATGGAGTCTGAAAAAGAATGCAGGTGAGAGAGGAGAAAAACATAACAACTTATGACATTTTAATAAAACAACCTACTTAAGCCCTAGAAAAACAAATTAAGTAGAAAACTATTTTTTGGATTATCAAAATTCTCATTTTTGTAAAAAGGTAAAATAATTGCAAGATATGTTGTCATGATGAGGAAAATGGTGGTTGGGAGAGCACGTGAAAGGATTCGTCAGTGAATGGTGAAAGGGATCAGTGGCTATCCAGTTCAACGGCTATCCAGTTTTTTGTCTTGAGAGAATCAAAAGACATTCCAAAATTTTGAGATTTGGCTATTTGAAAGTTGCTATAATATTTGTTGAGAAACTGACAGTTTATAACGGCTGGTGTCCAATGTGACCTTCACTAATGTTTCTCATTTCAAAGAACTGAATAAACACTTGAAAATTGCAAGTCCGTGATAGCTCTTGTTACTATTGTAAGCATCCCTGCATCTAATGCATCTCATATTTTGAATACCTTTTATTGTGCCTAGCATAATGGAGCCTGTGATGCCCATGCCCCCATGTAGCGGGACACAAGGGAGCAATGACTGTGCAGAAATGGGGGACAGGATGGAGCGAAGGCCCCATAGCTCTCGCCTGTTCGGACACTGTCATCCTTGGTAAGTCCGCCTCTGCCAGACCTCTCACAGTTCTCAGACCTAAACTTATGTCAAGGGCCTAAAGCCTCAGGCTCTGAAACACATTTGAATGCACTGAGAGAGAAAACCTAAGGCGGGGAAGTGAAAGGAGGACCTCGCCTGCATAAAGTAACACCAACTTGTGATACTGAGCACTTAGTTCAGTGATTTAGCAGTTACGGCTCCTCATTGTTAAAATAAGAGGGAAGGGGAGAAGACTGCACGTTTGAGTAAAAGATAAGACCCAACCAAGGGCTTATCTACCAAGACCATGCGGCAACAAAAGCACAAAAGGACACAGACTGGAGGAGGCTCCTTGGAGCTCCCTCTCAGCTGGACTGAGATCCCCGAACCGTCTGTGACCACCGGCTTGATCTTTATCGACAGGTCGTATTACCCTCCCTGTGTATGTAGTTTTGTCGTGTTATGTGTTACTATTTCGTGAACCTGTATGCTTGCTTAAGGATTCTGGCTCTCATAATAAACTGCCACCATATAGTACCCGCCTGACTGTGGAGTCTGAGTAGTGGTCGTTTCCCCCCCCCTTCTTTTGGTACTATACGGTGCATGACAGAGCCTAAACCCAATATTTATTAATTTTACAGTATTAATTGCAACATAAATAACGTTTATGCACACGATCAGAAATACATGTCTGCGAGAAAGCAACAGCTTGATGAAATAATGTTACCTGAAAGTTTAGAATAAACCGATGGACCCACTGACCTAGGAGGGGCCATGAAATCTCCTGAGTTGACTGCAGACCCTTCGCTGAGGGAACAATTTAAAACAGAAAAATCCTGAGTAACCTAGCTAAAGAGCACTTCCAGCCCAAAAGCAGCCTGCAGATTTCATAGCTTTTGCCATGATCTCTCTATCCCTACAGGCACTGATACTTCTCCCTTAGATCCTCTTCTCGGTCATATAATAGACATAGAGTTATTTGCTTTTCCTTATCTTTTAAATTTTGATCACATGTAGAGACTTAAGAAGGCATGGCATGCATGAGTTGCATACATGACATTGTTGCTAATTCCTTCATTTTTCATTGCTTTTTTTTTCACTATTTGAGAAACATGCTGTTTCCTAAGTATTCTCAACACATTGAGCCAAATGCTGACAGAGAAGGTAACAGCATCTCCAGTGTTCAAGGTGTAGGAATGTGTACAGTAGCCAAATATTTGTATGAGATTCACTTTGTTTCTGACATTTACTTTGCTGTAGGAGCAGGACTGAAGGAAAAAGGAAACAAAAAGATAAGCTAGCTCCAGATTTTGGGGATTCAAAAGGAAAGGAAGCGCCACGATCCTTGTTTCTGTCGTTCTGCCATGGCTGCAGCTGATACAGGTCTGCTGTTAGTCCCCACAAAACAACCTATGTTAAAGGGACTGTAGGGGTTTCTGCAAGCATCAAAACAAAATTCATCCTGCAAGAAGGAGCAATAGCTTTCAAAGAGATGTGGGTTTTTTTTTTGCTGGGAGGGGACAATTTTTGTAGCAAGTGACTCCTCCCAGTCCTCATGCTACAAACAAGAGGATGATGAGCTGATGGCTTTGCTGGAGAGGCACCTTTGTGAGCTGCTGGGGAGAACGAATGACACTGTCAAGGAGTTGCCCTAGCCATACTGCTACTTTGGGGCTTCACTGATACTCTCCTTGGCTTGTGGCTCCCCTCTGTGCCTCACAGCAGAGGGGAGCATATGGCTCTATGTTTAATTCCTTGTTTATATATGGTACTAATATCATCAATAATATCAGCGTAGATTTGGGAAAAGGAGGTGTGAATTAGCTGCCGTTGCTATCTTACTAGAGAGGAAGCTTATGATTCGGGGTACCTTATTCTGTTCTCACCTTTAAGGTTTTTGTTATGCTAAATCAAGATACTTCATTAAATTCATGCCTGATTTGCAGTAATATGATTGAAATTAAGCTAATATTTTAATCTGTAATTTCTTATTTGAGGGATCAAACTGGGATAAAAAACACATGATACTGTTTGATGCTGAGGCCTATTCAAGCCTAATTCATTATTCCAGTGTTATTGTTTCTAGGTCCTCATTAATTAATGCTATCACAATATTTGGATTCTCTATACAGTAAACAAAAGGTAAATTGAAAGAAAATCCCACATAGAGAGAAGGAACTGTATCTTATTTAGACCAGAACGCTTTTTACTTTTGTTGCCTGGCAGTTCACAGGAACCCAAAATTTTCACCTGCTTCTCTTTTAGTACACAGTCCAGCTGCATAGGACTGGACCAATGCAGATTACAGACATATTTGACAATGGACCCAAAACTAGGGGTGTTTACTTGATTAAACATCAAATGGCACGTGGCCCCATTAAGAATACAAAGTGAACAGCACATGGAACTCAGTCATGATTCTTTTTCTCGGTCAATAACATACTACTTGGACTGCTTCAGTTACCAGT